CAGAGGCAGAGTCTGGCTGAGGAGCGGTCTGATTCAGATGCTCTAACTGTTCTACCCTTGTTCGTCAATTCTCTATCATTTCCAACTATGCCGACTTTCTTGCATATCTTTGAGCCTCGCTACCGCCTCATGATACGAAGAGTCATGGAGAGTAGAGATCACAAGTTTGGAATGGTCCTGTATAATCGCTTAGGACGACCGCAAGGACAACTAGGAGCATCCCAATTCATGCAATATGGGACAGTCCTTAGGGTTGAGCGCTTTGAACCCCTTCCTGATGGCAGAAGCTTGGTTTTTGCCCAGGGGGTATCGCGTTTCAAGGTCATCAAATCTCGCATAGTGGATGGCTACCACGTTGGCCAAATACAGCGTGTTGACGATATTCCTATCGCAGAAGAGGAAAATTTGGAGTCCTTGGAGACGTCGACCATCTCCCGTCGTTCAACAGAAGCCCAGCCACTCCAACAGCCACTGGACTCCGTGTCAACGCAAGAACTGTTTCAGTTGGGACTGGACTTTGTACGAAAGCGGCGGGGCGAAGGAGCCAGATGGCTGCACCCACGCGTCTTGATGGCCTACGGAGATATACCTTCGGATCCAGCGCAGTTTCCCTGGTGGCTTGCCTGTGTTTTCCCAGTATCCGAAGAGGAAAAGTACGCGCTTCTGTCAACAACAAGCGTTAGGGAGCGGCTGAAGATCACCGCACAGTGGGCTAGAAGGGCGGAGGCCCGGGAGTGGTATGTTCTGAATTGTCCTTACCAGTTCTCAATCCTCCAGAAGACACTTTGTACTCACTTTGACACATTTTTGGTCAGGTCCACTCCACAATCGTTCGCCTCTCTCTTATGACTAGCCGTCCCACTTCTGGTCTTCGGTCTCATTCCCTTGGCTCTAGGTCCGATAACGTCGTCCACGTCAGTGCGTTCTGCAAGTGTTCTCACTTCTTTTTCGCCTTTCTCCTTGTCCGTTTCTGTGTCATTCGGTTCCGCCAGCCCTGCTACATATGAAAGCAACCAACGGAGGGCTGCGACTCAAGATGGTGAATCATATCTTTCACAAACAATACTTATTGGCATTTTCCTCGCCATCTTTCTCTTTCAGTTTGTCGCCAATTTCGGTCAGATAATGAGAATCAGACGAAGGGAAGCAGTAGATACTAGACCAAACATAGAGGAACAACCGGAGCCGCCAAGAGCTCCACAATGGCCACAGGACGATGATGAGAGAGAGGTTCATGCACAAACAGCAGATACTGAGTAGAGCCTCTGATGAAAACCCCTCGCCTGGATGTTCACGCAGGAGAAATGTTGAGGTTTCAACACATGCCACATTCTTCAATCGCTCTAATGGATGTGACGGTAACAAGAAGCAACCCCAGGCACAGCCTCACATCCAATCTCATTTCGCTGGAAATGGGCTTGTCTGACGATCATTAACGCAATCGTGCAGTCTGTGCCTAGCGGTCAGCTAGTGCAAAATCAGACGTCGTCATGATATGAGGCCTTTTAAGATAGTCGTTCCCCCGGTTTCTTACTCTTTCATATACTGTTCCATCAGCAGTTGGCAGGAATAACAGAACACTCATCATGAAATCAGATCAGCTATCGTGCCAATTTTCTTGACACTGGTTGTACAGAATACTGCAGATGAGAAATGGAGCATCCACAGTGAGGCGATGAGCTTTGTGGTTGGTGATAGTTGGATATGCAATCGGAGCAAGCAAGCGCCTTGCGTCCGCTCACCGGTTGTGCATTGCCGCCAATGGGAAGAGTTGACAGATCATAGGGATGGTGGAACTTGCTTTTCATTGATGCAAAGGCCTGCGAACCATTATGTACTTGACCTTGTCTTTTTTTGGAGATACCAGTTGGTCTGACTTGTCCAGCGCCACTAGACAGGGTGAGTCTGGGAAAAGGTAGTGTTGGGTCACACAGCGCATTTTCAACGTTTGAAAAGAGAGAGAACAACATAGCAGAATGATACTTAGATTTGGCCTACCTCTGAGTAAATCGATGAGCTCTGTATAGTACGTAGATAGCCGTGATGATAGGTAGTCTCGAGGTTAGCAACGGCCATTGATGGACTCATCTTGGACTGCTGTTTCATCAAAACAATCGCGGGAGTAAGTATGGCAACAGACTCAAGCTGTCTAAGCTGCCCGAGATAAGGGGGTATGGAGTGAACATGAAGAAAATCGAAGTATACTTTGAAAACGAACAAATGAGCAACTGCCTTGGTCATCTGGTCGATCGCTCCTGCAAAGCCAACGTGGGGTTATTGAATGATTGTGACATGCCTGTCCCCAGAGACGAGGAGATTATCTTCTTGTCTTTCCCTTTTATGCACCTTGTCTCTGCCTAAACTCTTTTCTACCTTCCTTTATCTCTGATTTGGCTGAAAGCATCTACTTATTAGTTGCCATTTTAAGTTCACTGGTGTGCTTCCTCCTCCTTCCTTCTCTTTACTTCGTCATCAACTAACTCTGATACTAGATACAATGTCTTCAATCACCTCGTATGGAGGACTCTATTCTAGGTCCTTTGCTCAGAAGTAAGCACTCATACTCCATTTTGTCATTCTCCTCTGCTATAGTTTCCATAAGAATCAGAAAGGGAAAATGATAGTTCTGATACTTCTGACAGAACTGAAGCTGTGAGTTCATCCTATCTTCTACGCGAGGTTACATGTCCCGGCTCATGCTCCGTGACTCTTGACCTAGCAAACTTTACCTCAAAATAGTATCAGCCTGCTCAGCGCAGATTATGTGACTATTCTGAAATCCGAATACCAGCAGCTGGTAAGCTACAGAGCCATCGTCCAACCGCTATTCAGCGCCTTTGCTAATGAATCTAGCTGCAAGCATCGAACCATCTCAGTGAGTCAACACATCCTACGCTGATTGCCGGATCATAAGGCCATATTGCAAGGCCATATACTCATCTGAGCACCATACAGAGAAGCTGAAAGACTCCCTTTTGGGCGGGGGTCTGTCTCAAGAAACTCTTGATGTAGGAATGCATGCCAAGTGGTCACAACCATGCACTTGCTGACCACTCTCTGTTTCAGATCTTGGTTTATGGTGCAGACTTTCCGTCTCAGCCCTCCGAAGTTGCTGGTGAGCTCCATGAACAGAAGACTTTCGATGAACTCGAGAATCATCCTGTTACTCAATTTAAGAGCTCCAATGATCGTGAAAATGCTGCTCATGAGATGGGTGAGATCTATGAGGAAGATACTGAAGATGATGGCATCGTCTCTCCAAACAGTGACGAAAAAGATGACTATGACGAGTCGAGAAGCGCAGATTCTGTTTCTTCTCCAGCAGCCCAACGCACGGTCTTCATTCGCGGCTTATCGGAACGGGCCACTCATCAAGATGTCGTTGATGCAGTGAGAGGTGGTGCTCTGCTGCATCTTTACCTTCGGCCTCGGGATCACGCCGCTTACGTCTCGTTTGTTGAACCAGCGGCCGCTGTCGAATTTCTGCAGCATGCAAAAACTCATGGCTGTCATGTTGCGGGGAAGCGCGTAGGAAAGCCCATCGAAGCCGTTGCACATGTACCTGTAACTAACCACTCCTCATCGTCATAGGTCGAGGTCTCATGGAATGACCGGCAATTCTACCTTCCCCCATACGTCGGATCGAAGATCAGGAATGGCGCAACTCGGAATCTAGTGATCTACAATGTGAATGCAAATATCACCGAGTCACTTATCCGGACAGACCTTGAGCATATCCACAACCTGATTGTGATCACTGTGAAATTCAAGCAAGGCAATGCATACATCTCCACGAACTCCGTTCACAATACATTATTTGCTCGGTCCTGCATGATGTCTCGAGGCACTTACAAGGGTATGCGCATTGGATTTTACCCTGATGAATGCGCAGGGCTACCGTCCAAGCTTCCCGCAGGCCCAAAAAGAGAAGTGCAACCACCTTCAAAGATGTCATTGTCAGCTTCAAATCGGTTTCAACTTCTTTCCCTTGATGGCTCCGGAGACGATGATGTTGAGAACCACGAGAGTCTACCTGGCGCATTGAGCAGCCAATGTTTGAACGGTGGCATAAACCTGGTGGAGAGTAGAGTCTCAGCCTAGCCAGTGGTGGCTGATCTGGCTTATTTATTTTGAAGAGAGATGCATGCTTAAATAGCCAAGGTGCGTCCATCTCTCTCTTGCGTTCCCCATTCATGATGTTGCCTTTTCATGCGACGATCTCGAATGTGACAAGGAATCCAAGATATCTTGACTGAGGGAAGTTGGTACGGCAGGTGAAGCTTCCTCCAATTGGTCTCGTGCGTATCTAGTGAATGCGGATGTGGAACTTTCTCAGTGATGCAGGGACGCGCAGCATTGTTTGAACAAGACCGCCTATTGTAGGCAGATGTCATCCATTGCCAGATGCTAAACGTCCATAGGACACGGCGTTTGTCGTGTCCTTCAGCATCCGATGCTTCTCTACATATGTATGTGACCGGAGGTTCCCGGCATATACTGCGACGCAATTTAAGTGCAATAATTTCTAGCAAATTGTAGAACTAGGTCATCAACGATCATAGGCAGAATGGTGTTGAATTTCCGCGTCTTGTAACGGTAGAAAGTCATCAAGACAACTGCACCTTTCCTGAGTCAGTCCTGGCCACAGTATATCCGAAAATTGCATTCCTTCTTTTGGTCCAGAACCATACAGATAGAAAGATGACCCAAACAGACAACGCAGGATAACCTCCGCAACGCTCATCTCTGTTTAAGGACAGATGGATGACAAACAAGAAAAATGGGTAATATTTCAGATTCCTGGCCTATACTAAATCCATCCGAGACAGAGCCAGTAACCCATTCCACTGCCACAACCAAATTCGAACCTTCTTCGATTGCCCAGTGGGATTGCACCATGATCTCCTCCCCAGTACACCATGATCTCTTCCCCAGTACACCATGAGAGAAACACAACACCATTCTGCGCTTTTTCGTGGCTTTTTGTTTGGCGGGGTCGTTTAACGGTAGGATTTCTGGTACCTGGCACGGGCACCGCGACCACCGAACTTCTTGGGCTCCGTACGACGGTTGTCGGCGACGAGCAGTGTGCGGTCGTACTGAACAAAAGCCTGCTTGAGCTGGTTCTTGGAGTGCTCATCGACGTACTTCTGGTAGTAGGCGACGATGGACTTGGCGATGGCCTGGCGGATGGCGTAGATCTGGGAGGTGTGACCACCACCGGAGACACGGACACGGATGTCGACACCGGCGAACTTGTCAGCGCCGACGATCAGGAGAGGCTCGTAGACCTATTTGCATTGTCGTCAGATTCTGTTTTTCCTTTTGTCCTCTTTCCTTCGCAAAACAATGCGACGCTATCGGTTGGGTTTTGTAGTCGTACCTTGAAGCGGAGGATCTCAGGCTGGACCAGGCCGAGAGGCTGGCCGTTGACCTTGATGAGACCCTTGCCTTGCTGTTGATAACACAATTCTCAGCATTTGTTCTGTTGTTTCCATGCGAATGCAAAAGCGAATCCCCGTTTTTGTCCTCCAAATCAACCCTTCTCTTTCAAGTTCCGGACATTCCATCTCGATAAATCACGCAGTTTTGCCAATTGGGGCGACATCATAGGGAAATGGGGAAAATTGCTCCTCATACCTTGCAGTGGGCGACAGCAGTGGCTATACAGATAATTCCCAGTCAGTAATCACGTTTTTCATCTCCGCGTTCTGTCCCATTGAAAAACTTACCCGTCTTCTTCTTGCCGAAGCATTGCACACTCGGGACGGAAGCCATGATATGTAGAATGGCCCTTGTCGGTGTCGAGAAGGAGTGTGCCGGAGGGTGGGTTCGAAGGGGGGTTGGAAAGTTGTCGTCGTCGCAGGGCTATATTTCTCGCGGCGTTTCGATTCGAGATGGGCAGAATCCGTGCGGACAAACTCGCTTAGTGCGCCGCGCTAGTGCCGTTCTAGGGCTTGTCGGGGGGCTGCGGTCACGTGAAGCTAGAGCCTGCGGGAGTTGGCGATGGAGTTTGGAGTTTGGACGTAGGGAAGCGGACTCAGCGGAGGTTTGCCGGAAGTTTGGAACACTTGGGATCAGAATTCCGGGGACTTCGTTATAATTCAGCCTTGATTGTTCAATCAATTGTTCTGATTTCGGCTTTTAACCACCTCTATCCTCGTTGAGGAGAGCAATTTAAGATGTCGCAAACTATCGGAAAGGTGCAGTAGCCCGCTCTGTTTTGCAGCTCCATTTCTGCCATATGGTTTAACATGTATACGTATAGACACGTCTAGCCTACTCTCGCACATGGCACTATGTCGACGTGGGTTCTGATCCGCGCTCCCTTGGCCGCCTGGCTTCCTCCATTGCCCTGTTCCTCATGGGCAAGCACAAGCCCATCTACGACCCTTCGACAGACTGCGGAGACTATGTCGTCGCGGTAGGCTGCAGTGACCTGCGGACTACGGGAAAGAAGCGCTTCCAGAAGAAGTACTACACGCACACCACACGGCCCGGTAGCCTACGGAGCATGACCATGGACCAGATGTTCGAGAAATGGGGCGGCGGTGAGGTCCTCCGGAGAGCTGTTCGGGGAATGTTGCCCAAGAACCGGCTTCGGGATAAGAGGTTGGCTCGTTTGAAGAGTGAGTCTTTTAGGATCTTTGCTATTTGATTGTACTCTTGCTGACTTGAACAGCCTTTGAGGGTCTGGCTCATCCCTACAAGGAGAATATCGTAAAGTTCGGCAACAAGTCGGTTATTGGCAATTTGCCGGAGGTGCAGCAGGCCTTCAAGAAGCCTGAGGCTGAGGCTGAGACCAAGCAGTCTGCGTGAACGGTGCTTGGTCAAGGGGGACGAAATCGAACATAAGCGAATTACTCTCCCGCTTGGATGCGGCGCCATCTGCTTCTGTAACTCTATATTTTCTGTGCTATTTTAGGGCCGATTTACTAGCGCATGGGTGGGAGTTTTGTGACTTATTGGTTTTTTTTTTTTTTCATTCTCAGGATTTCTCTATTCAATCGTTCCCAACAGTTTCCTTCTTTGAAGCGGGATTCAGTCGTCTACATGTCGATGCTTCTGTACTATACACAAGTGAAAGATGGATGATTGCTAGATGAAATACCCTATTCCCAGAGACTATGTACAGTTATGCCTTGGCTAACTCCCGTGACAAATCATGAAATGCAACCCTTTGACTGAGACGCTCTCACAGCTTAGATTTGGATGTGCGGCCCACCGTGCACTTGATCAATCCGTTGGGATTTGTCTGAGGCGCGTACACCTCCGCGTCCTTGCCGAGGTTCTTGAGGCCCTTGTGCCAACTGAGGTCTGCGGAAATACAAAGTTAGCAATGGAACTCAAGTCAGAGGAAGCATCTTTCAGTACTCACCAACTTCAAAGTAGTGCTTGTTCGGCAGAGAGTACTCGACAGTCTCGATAAAGGGTTCAGCCGCCAGGATCTGCTCGGACATCTTGTACATGGTAGCCTGCACACTGGCACTGTTGTCCTGGGCAAAAGTCTTGAGGGTGATCTCCCGAGCCGCAGACCAGGCGGCATCGAACTTGGGGATGTTCGCGCGGACCTCGCCGAGGTCGCTGAAGCGCTTCCACTGCCACGAGGCATCGACATCCGTGCTCAGGATACGATCCCAGGTCTCCTTGAGGGTGGTGTACTCATCGCGTACGAATCCGTGGAACTGCGAGCCAGTACTCTTGAGCACAGTGAGGCCAGAGATCGAGGACTTGATGTCGATGCCGGCGCCCTCGGCCACGTCCACCTGGACATTGCGGGTTTCCTCGCTGTCGCGGACGAAGGAGTGAGGGTGGGGCTTGCCGTCAATGTTCATGCGCGTCCAGCGGTGGGTGATGATGTGAGCGTGCGCGGCGTGGATGTGCTTGTATTTCTGGATGAAGTGGGTGCCCAGGATGGAGCCGAAGAGCTCGGGGGGAGTGACCGGGTGCTGCTTGGCGAGGATGTAGATGGTGTTCTTGATCGAGTCGGTAGCGACAATGACGCTGTTGTCGGCCTTGGTGTAGCTGTCGTAGATTCCCGATTAGTACTTTTGTCTGACTCTATGCTCTAACCTCCGACTCACGAAGTCTCAATCTCTCCCTCCAACAGTACACAGACGGTCATCTCCACCACCGTCTGCACACCGGTCTTCTCGTCCCGGTGGACCTTGCAGACGCGGACATTGTCCTTTCCATAGCGAGCAGCAGTAACAGGAGCCGACATTCTGATCAGTTAATGAGCTGAATAGCTGCAGTTGACGAGAGAGGAGTATGGTTGGAGGAGTTGGGGTAAATAGTCCTGCGGGGAAGCTCAGGAACGATAAGGGAAATCGGGGGGTAATGAGCAAGCCAAAGCCCACGATCTGACAATCCGGGTGAGGGAAGAAGGAAAGCTTGATATTTCAATGCAAGCAGGCGACACAGAGCTTTTAAATCCGGTCACGAAGGGACAACGCGAAAAAACCATCGCATGATGGTTGCTGGCGGTCCATTGTCGGCCACCTCCGAAAGCCGCGCAATTGGACGGCTACGGCCATCTCTCCTTACTGTCTCCCGCCGCCTGTCTTATCGCGCGGGCTTTGGCTTTCGGAGGTCCTGATGTCTGGTAGTTTTAAAGGCTGACGACTTCCCTGCAATCCATCTCATGACGCGATGAGTAGATGAAAATCTTTGAATGATGATGGTAGTCAGGATTCTCTTTAAACAATTGAGGTATACCTGCGGCGACTGTCCGCATGGAGCAAGATGCGAGCACTGGACAAAGGAACTGGGTTCTTGTCATGGACAACCCTAGTCCGCAATGATCGTATATTGCTCATAAACTGGTGGTCTTGAGATCTGGAGGACGAAAGCCCTGCTTTGCTTTCTCCGGAGTCAGACTGGACTGTGGAGTGATCACATAGAATGATAGTAAGGAATGCAGGGAAAACCCCCAGACATACCAACACGCTGATTGCCGGGATACCATGATTGTTGGCTATACATTGGCAGAGGTAGTCTCAGAATATCCGAGAAGCTTCGTGTTAGCTTGTGCGCAAGAAATCACGGCATTGATGTAGGTCAATGAGAGTTGAAGCAATTGTCGAGCGCAACTCATCATTCTAATTGGCTGTTCATCCATTGCTCCACTGCTCTTCTTTTGTTTGTCACCGTCACAATAAAATCTTGAATCATTGGCGAGAGCAGATGTCATCGGCTTTTCCAATATCATATCATTGGACTGGTTGGATCGAAAATGAGCTTGGGTTGCTGCTGAAAGTATATCTCTACGTGAATGCATCAAAGTCTGCAGTACTAGTTTCGATGGCGCCAGCTGAAGATTGACAAGCAAAGCGACAATACACACTCGTTCAGCTGCTACTTTCTGAACAGAATTCAAGCAGACGATGTTCTGCTCAAGCAGCAAAGGGCATAAACGCCCTCCCTGGCTTCTACAAATACGGTCGTCTACTGCGTTCATTATCGCCACTGTATGGACATCGTCATTTACAGTGAGTGGAGACATATAAGCTTGCATTGTTACTCGTCTGGTTGTTGACTGTCTGTTCCAGGATTATTTCTTATATGCAATGGTGAGCAGTTATGGAACTTGCGAGGACAATTGCTGATATCAGACATGGTAGATTGTTCCAGTGATGCCAACTGCGCTTGTCGATAGGGCAGGAGTTCCATACGATGAACGTATGTCGCGCAAAATGCTGCTTATCTTCAAACGATACTGCTGCTAACATGTCCCATGTCCAGGCGAATACTGGGTCAGTATACTCTTGATGTGTGAGGCAGCCGTCGCATTCATCTGCTGCCCCATCTTCGGGTACCTCGTCGACATCGCGCCCACCCGCCAGTTCCCCTACCTGTTCGGGCTCATCCTGCTCGGCGCCTCCATGGGGATGCTGACGGTCGCACATACCGTGTGGCTATTCATAGTTGCGCGCTTGATCCAGGGCGGTGCGACGGCCATGGTGGCCGTCGCGGGCCTGGCGCTCATGACCGACTCGGTCCCGTTCGATAATCCGGGCCAGACGATCGGGTATCTGGGCTCGTCGATTGCGCTGGGCTTCCTCCTTGGTCCGCTGCTTGGCGGACTAGTCTACAATGCTGCCGGCTACAATGCGGTATTTGCCATGGCGTTTGCGTTCATCGGCGTCGACTTGGTGATGAGAGTCGCCGTGATCGAGAAGAAGGTCGCTCGCGCGTGGTTGTCGGATTCGCCCGAGGAGAACCCAGGTGAGGAATACCCTCAGCGCTCATCAGAAACCTTGGAAACTCCAACGGGATGGAGGAACATTGCTCTGTTGGGCATAGCCAGCCAGCCACGGGTGATGATCTCCTCGTTCGCCCTGCTCGTCCAGGGCATCCTATACTCCGCCTTCGACTCGGTACGCTCCCTCATGGTTCTCAATCTGAACCAATCCCAGAAAATCATACTCACGCTCATCAAACCAACAGACAATCCCCGTCTTTGTCGAAGACAAATTCAACTGGAGCCCCTTCGGCGCAGGAATGGCCTTCCTCCCCTCAGCCATAACAGCGCTCTTCGAACCATACTTTGGTAAGCCATCCAGCCAGCCAGCCAAACACCCCTCAGCACACTCTAACCGGCAATCACAGGCTCCATCTCCGACCGCTACGGCGCCCGCCTCGTAACCTTCACCAGCTTCCTCCTCCTGTCCCCACCGCTCATCAGCCTCCGCTTCGTCGAATCCAACACAACCCCACACATCGTCCTCCTCCTTGTTCTCCTCACCCTCATCGGCCTCCTAATCAACGCCTGCGTGCCCGCCCTGTACGTAGAAACGCAGCAGGTCCTCGAAGAAATGGAGCGTGCGCGGCCGGGCATCTTCGGCAGACGAGGCGCCGTGGCCCAGGCGTTCGGCATCCAGACCATGTCCTCGTTTATGGGATTGTTCCTGGGTCCGCTTTGGGGTGGGTTCGTTGAGTATCGGTTTGGGTGGAAGACGATGGCGTGGACGCTTGGGTTGTTGGCCGCGGTGACGGCTGTGCCAATGCTTTGGCTGAGTAATGGGGCGCCGGGTGAGGCAGTTGACGGGACGCAGAGGGAGAGAGAGAGGTTGTTGCCCGGGGAGAGGAGGGAGGAGCCTGGTGGGAATGTTTGAGTGTGCACGTTTCCTATAACTTGTATTGTCCACTATGCGTGACTGTATTACCCGTAGGATTATGCGCTGACGTCGGCACGCCCTCGTACGGCCTTCAAGTCATATGCGTCATCTGCGTCCAGAACCGCAACCGCGAAAGAGAGTAAAACGTAAGGTCTGTATCAAACCTATGTGAGGTGTACAGTGATCAATTGTCATGATGTTCACTGTCCCGTATACATACAACAAAGTTATATCCTCATGTACAGACGGACCGATAGATATACCCTCAAGACAGCCAAAAGACAATGAGCAGAGTAATGATAGACAAGAAAGGAAATAATAGTGAAGACAGATGAAGCACTAATTCTTTTCCTTCACGAATCCCGTTCCCAGCCACCCCTTCCCATCGTAAGATGCAAACGCCTTCAACACCCAAATCAATGCCAATCACTCAAACGCCCATCCATAATAGAATTTTCGCAGTCATAAGGATCATCAGGGTGGATAAACTTGATCCGCAGATCAAAGGCTCAACTGATCAATGCTGCCGACTCGTCCATTTCCTCCCAATCGTCCACCACCTTTGGTCACCATTCCTAACCGGTAGAAGCGCTCCTCTCCTGCCGCCGTTCGACCGCCGATATACCACTTCTCCGGGCCAAGGGCATCCCGGAAGCCTCCCGATCCACTGGAACTGTCACTCCCTCGCCGTTGGCGGTCAGGACCGTCCGCGATGGGGATGGGATTTGACGAGGCAGGTGTAGGCGGGGAAGACGGACCTAGAGGGGTCGAGATGGAAGAAGCAGGGGATTCTGTACTCGAGGAAGTCTGATTCAGCGATGGTCGTGGGTGAGAATGAGGTCTAGCGTGTGAAGATGCGGCAGCCGCGGAGGAAGAGTGGTGATGATAGTGGTGGTTCGATGCCGCTTGTACGGCAGCAGAGGAGGATGCTTGCTCTGCTGAAGTGGTCGCATTTGAGCTGGCACCAGCTTTGGTGGCTATTGCTCGGGCCCCTTGAGAGATCTGAGCGGCAGAGAGTGAGGATGATGGACCTGCAGCGGACTGAGTGCCGGCTGTCGAGGCCTTGTACGTCGATTGTGCTCGAAACGCTGCCAGGAAGTTCGCCAGAAAAGGCCTGTTGGTTGACATGTTGGACATAATTTTGTTCGGCTTTGGAAGGCAACGGTCTGTAGCACTCGATTGGGAAAGACCCTAACGAGAAACGTATCCTGGATTCAAGCGGTCTCGTCCGCTCCGTAAAGGGCCAGAAAGCACCTTAAATCACGTATATTACTCGAATGAGGCGATGGGATGTTAGACTAGTAGTGGCGGTGGTTCATCGGCTTCCCAGTTTTGGCGGCGGCAACGGGAGGAAAAGGGAGAGAGAACAGATCTGGCAGATAAATGCCTCCAGATCGACTACTTAGTATTCAGCCTGTGCGGGGCGACTAGACGAACGAATCATTCGGAGGTCTGTGATACTTTGCTGTACAGAGTAGATAGAGGAGAAGTGCGTTCTGAGACGAAGGATGCCCTCAAGTCACTCCGAGGTTGGCCCGCTTGCCGCTGGACGAGCCAATCAACCGTTGCTGATATCGCCCCGAAGCAAAAGAGACTCGGCGGTGACGTCTTCACTCGCTTTAAGTACTCTTTGGGGTCCGTTAGTATGAGCACTACGCTGACAAGAAAGACACTTTAAAAATAAGATACTTAAGGAGTACTGACTTGATGATAATAGAGGCAGGAGCTGAAGAACGGATCGATCAGACTGAATGGCTCATTTGAGCGGCTTCGCAAAAAAAGTCATCACCCTGGAATAGGGAGTACTCGGGGGATCTAATACAGTGACGGAGGGGAACTGTGGGGTTAAACCGGCTTCTCTTCTTACGCAGAGGTACTTCGTACGTACTCAATATATCACGAGGGGAAACGGTAGAAAAATATCGATCATCTTATTTTAGACGGCGTGTAGATACCCTGCATACGATCTAAATCACCCGATGGATGAGATGAGGGGAAATCTAGACGAACGGCAGCTGCAGCTTGAGGAAGGGAAATATCGGAACCAGATGCGCATGTCCGCGCCGGGCAGAGGGAATCCAACAATGTTGCTTGCACATGTGCA